GGTCAGGTGTTGGTGGGTAACTTAAGACTGTTTTGGAACCACGGTGTTGCCATTTATTAGGATACTGGAAGGGTCCATCCATTAACTCATGGGATTAGAGTATGTAGCTAACAAGGCCAGATCATGAGTTAATTCCCAAATGGGTGTGTGATCTCTTCTAAGGATCTCTGTTACTTCTTTGCTACCCAGTCTGTGCCTCCCTGAGAAGGTAAAGGGAATTAAGCAGTATTTGCTCTGTCCGACTCCTCAGACCTACCTGCAGACCAACAGGACCTAGTTAAGTAGGTCCTTATTAAGTGGCAAGCCCACATAAGGTGAGGCACCATAATCAGTATAAATAGGCCTTTAATCAGTATAATTTGTCAGTATCTGACCTGAGTAAACCTTATTAGAGCCACAAACAAAAGTCCTGTTTATATTAGCAAATAGGGAGAAAACACATAATAATCAGCATCTTTTTGATTTCTTAGAACTCATAATGCTTGTCTTAGCCTAACCTTTCCTTTCCCTAACTAATAATGCAATTTAAATGTTTATTTTTGACCCTGGGCTCCAATCTTGTGCTAGATTGATACAGAGATGTAAATTAATCCTCGTAAGACCTCTATGAAGTGTGGGTATTTTATTCCCATTTTACAAAAGTAAATATTGAAACCCAAAGGATTTTAAATGACCCACCTTAGGTTACTCAGTGAGTAATAGAGTCTCAGTAGAGCCGAATTTCTCTAACTTAAGTCTAAAACTCTTTACATTATAGTATATGAAGTAGCTGAACTCTGACAGATAGATCAGTCCCACCTTAGGTCTAGAGCGTTCTAGTACATCTACAAGCAAAGATAACATTTGGGCAGTTTGCTGTGCAGTTACCAGTAATGCATATTGTATATTTTTATTGTTTATGGACTCTGTTTTAGTTTGGTTATTTCCCCTTCTATATGGTAAAGTTCAAAAAACATGGCCTCTGGAGTCAGATAGCCCTGAATTTGGATTCTGGCTATACCAGAATTTACTAGCGGCATAATTTTAGATGTTAAATAACTTTACCAAACTTTACCAAACTTGAGTTTTCTTATTTATAAAAATTGGGTAATGTCTGCCTCATTGGGTGGTTATATTTGTTACCTGTTGCTGCACAATAAATTGCCTTAAAACAGCAAATACTTATTACCTCATAGTGTCTGTGGGTCAGGAATTGGGGAGCAGATCAGTGGGGTGGTTCTGGCTCAGGGTCTCTCCAGTTGGCTGGGGCTAGATGGCTGCCTCGGGCTGTGGCGGAAGGCCTTAATTCCTCACTACGTGGGCTTCTTCATAGGCTGTTTGAGTGTCTTCCTAGCATGGCAGCTCCCCTCTCCCAGAGCGTGTGTTCCGAGAGAGAGAGTGAGAGCGAGAGAGAGAGCGAGAGGGAAGGAGGGCAAGGGAAGCCATTTTGTATTTTGTGAACTATTTGCACACCTTTATTTTTACATATAGATATATTTTGTCTATATAGTGATTCATGTTCTATATATGAAAAATATATAAAATACATATTTTATAAATATATAAAATGTATGCTATATTTTATTCTTTAGCATCAAGTCACTAAGTCCAGCCCACACTCAAGAGGAGGGAAATTAGGCTCTACCTCTTAAAGGGAAGAATATCAAAGAATTTGTGTACTATTTAAGAGGTGGACTCTGAGCCCTAAGGGGCCCCCCTCTCTGACCACTGCTGACATGTGCTCTGAGAGCCTAGTTACCTTTCTTGCTGTGGGTCTGCTGTGTTGCTCAGCTGGTGGGGCAGGAACAGGCTTTCTGATTGAGCAGCAACCATAAAGGACAGAGAGAAGTAAAAAACTTCATTGACCCAGAGGCTAAAGTGATGGTTGTTATAATCATTCCTTATCAGGTTAGAGTGATGTGACTTGGGTTAATCTTCTGTCTTCCTGGTACACTAGTGATACTTCCACCAGTTCAAGGGTGAATAATCAGGGCATTATTCTTTTGAGGACATCATTCCCAAGCTTCACTCAGTATTCTTTGCTGAGTTGAGGAGAAAGCAGCAGTAGATGTAATAACCATTGAAAACTCTTAACAGGCTTCACTATGTAAACATAGCCAATAAATTGCGGAGTGGGGATGCACACTAAGTTCCTGTATAGTCTCTGCACACAGTAGCCTTTAAGGCGCCTTCCTATCTGTAAATAGAAGCCTCTATAGAATCTGGAAGTAGATGAATGAAAGGAGGACTTGGTGTTCTCCTGAGCACCAAGGCAGGAGTGAAGGCCATCCCCACCTGTCTCCCCAGGTCTTGGCCTTCAAGTATAGTAGCTTTTTAGAGACTGTGGAGCCATAAACCAACTCAGCTTTTAGCCTTCTAGGTGGTTCTTACGTGTAATCTTAGGGATGAGTCTCCAAGGCAAAAGCTGATGTTAGTGAATTCACAATACATTGGAATTAGTCAAATAACTGGGCCAGAGTAAATAGAGTGAGTATTCTCTGTGGGGCAAAGGAGAATGAAAGTGGAAAAATACATCACTTGTAAGCTGATTTCTGAAAGTTACGTCTCTACCATTTCCCTGAGCACCAGACTTGATACTCAGCTGCCTACTTAACAACTTCACTTGGATGTTAAATAAGTCTTAACATGTCCTAAACTTTGAACTCCTGGTTTTTTACTACCATGATTGCTCCATCCCTAAACAAAACAAAATAAAAACAAGCAAACGAAAAAAAATGCTAATTCTTCTCAGTCTTCCTCATCTCAGTAACTGTCAACTCCATTCTTGCAGTTACTCAGGCCAGAAACCTTGGGATCATCTTTGACTTCTTTTTCTCTCACTTTCCACATTCAGTCCATTAACAAATATATTAACTTAACCTATAAAATATATCCAGAATCTCCTCACTTCTTCTGCTACTGCCTTCATCCATACCACCCTCTCCCCCTTGCCTGGATTGCTTCCACTATCGTCTCTACAATTTTTGTCCACATAGTAGCCAGAGGGAGCCTGTTAAAGCATACAGATAATTTCATACCTGCACTTAGTATTCACCAGTGGCTTCCCAGCTGACCTAGAGTAAATGCCAAAGTAATTTCATTGTCCTACAAAGTCCTATCCAATCTGGGCTCCATTCTCTGATTTGGTCTCCTACCATCGTCCCCCTGTGTTTCAGCCAGACTCCTCCATGCTGTCCTTGTACATAACAAGCACGCTTCTGCCTCAGAGCTTTTGCCTTTCCCTGTACCTGGAGTGTTCTTCCCACAGATATATGTAGCCTACGCCCTTACTTTCTTCATGACTGTGCTAAAATTCACCTCATCAGAATGGCCTTCCCCTACCACTCTGATGTATTTGGCATGTAACGAGTGCTCAACAGATGTTTGTCCAATGAATGAAACACAACTAGAGGCAAAATGTAGCTCTTCTGCTTGTTGTATCTCCCTACTCCCCCATGATGGTGTTTAAGTATGGCTGTGGAGTGTGTTCCTTCCTTGGAGTGCTTAAGATGGGCCTTAATATTTACTGATTGAAGGAAGCTCTGAGGAAGGTGACCAGGTTGAACAGTGACTGACTGGCTGTGGGAGAAATTTGGTGTGATGGGAATTTGAGCCAGCCTGACTCATTCCCTTCTGTAGTGAGGAACTGTGCCTGGAAAAACAGATATTTCCTTTATAATGTCCTATCTAGAAAACACCTCATGCTGAGTAGTACTGCAGGCCTTAGTTTGGCAGGTTGTGGAAATGGCTTGGGGCCTTGCTCATTCTTTTCCTATCCAGGTGCCTCAGGAGGTGGTCTGGGAAGCACAGTCTGGGAGTAGCAGGATGTTGGATTATTTTTAAGCCAAGAAAAGCCAAGCCAGTCAGAAGGGAAACATGGGGTCAGCCCATGATATAATACAATTGTACAGGCTTTTACAGTCTCAAAATGAATATTTTGACATCTATCTATGCAAGACACTGGATATAGGCAGCGGCTAGAAATAACTCCATTTGATAATGGAGTATAGAGTTCAAGCACAGAATAATTAAATAACCAGCAAAACTGGAATTTGGACCAGGCCTATTGATTCTCCTTCCCATCTTCGCCAGCAAAGTGACGTCTGGCCTACTTTGAGTTTTATTGCTTTTGGAGTTTTATTGCTTTTGGATTAGTATAACTGATGCGGTAAGGTGGAAAATACAGTTAAGATCAAAGAAGGCCAAATTCAAAGAATTAGCCCCTATCTCAGGCTAATTGGATCCTTGAAACTTACCTAATATTTAAACCACAGGTGCTGTTTATTTCTTTCTAAGTTATCCCTAAAAGCAGAGAAAATCAGCAGCTTCTGGCATGTCTAGAAATTCCCCTAAGATTGGGTTCATTGAGATGACTGCAAATCAGGTGTATAAATCAGATTCTTAAGCCGTTAATAAAATCTCTTGGGACGCTGGTTGAATTTCCTGTTCATTTCTTTCTTCCCTTGTGAAGACCAATTTGCTTCATTCCCTCTTTTCTGGGAGAGGCTTGGCCATTGATACTCATCACCTAGCTTCTCCAAGCATTCATTGTTTTTATATACCTTGCAGTAGGACTTGATTTTAGGTGTTTGATCTCAGGGATCTCTCATTTCCTTAAGGGAATATATGGCATTTGATACAATACATAATTATTGCTAATGTAGGTGTATTAAGAAAAAACCATGACTGGCAGAGAAGGTAATAGCTTCTGTTTGCATTTTCTTTAAAGGATGGCTTAATTTATGCAGTTGCACCTGTGCTCTCTTCCAGTAGGTTGGAGAACCACCTGTATTATTAGTAGAACTTCGCATATAGTAATCCTGGTGTCTGCTTTGGTGGGTGGGAGGTTAGGGCAAGGGAGTGGTTCCATTGCTGTGTTCTGACCTGAAATGCATGTTATCAAAGCTGAATATGAGAGTGGGTCAAAGGAGAAGCAGGGCTCTGAGCCAATAGTTGGGGCCTTTTGTATCCTGTTCAGCTTATGCTCCCATGGTAACTGTATTCAACACTCTTTCTCACAGCTGCTCCTGACATCACTGGCCATAAACGGAGTGAGAACAAGAATGAAGGGCAGGATGCCATGATGTACTGCAAGTCAGTTGGCTACCCCCACCCAGAGTGGATCTGGCGCAAGAAGGAGAACGGTATGCCCATGGTGAGTACGAGGCAGCCCTGGTTCTCTATACGTGGGTCTCTGTGGTTGCTGGAGTTTCTCCTGGGGAGTTCTAGACATCTGGACTAGTTTCTGCAACCTGCCATACTGGCTGCCGTGGCTTGGGTCACCCTTTCTAGAGTCTTGGTGGTTACATCATGAATCTGGAAGTCATTGGCAGTTTCTGACCAGCATGGAACCCCTGTACGTGATTTGTTAAAGCTGTCTGTCTGGTAAAGGATTTGGCTGTTTACCTTCAAGATAAGACACCAAGAAGAGCTAACCCCAATCTTAAAATTTTACTGTTATTCTAGTACATTTATCCCAAAGAAAATATTGCTCATAAAGTGGTCTTAATGTACTTTTCTTGTTTTTTTGGGAAGGCAAGGCAGTGAGAGCAATTAATAGTATATTCCTGGAACACATGAAATAGTGATTAGGAATTGAGACAATCTAAGGAGGCCCATGGGCAGCCTTAGACATTGGAAATCTGACAGTATCTGCTGCAGAAAAGGTCAAAGAAAACATCTTTTCCAATCTGTGGGATGATTCTTGATGGTATGGGAGAGTCAAACCTTTCGACTCTCACTTTCTGATTAATGCTTGACCGGTCTCCTATTCTATAGAGGGGCTGTCATACATTCTTCCCCAGGCTTTGTATGCCTAGCAGTCTACTTTTCAGGCATCCTCTTTGACTGCCAGTCTTCAGAATCAGAAGGGACCCTAGAGATCATTTAATCCAGCTTCTTTGGGAAGGTTATACATATTAACCAAGGTAAATTAGTGGCAAGACCACGGAAGTTTCTTGCATATGACGGTATTTTTAAAATACCCTTTGAAGGCTTGTGGACCAAAGGTCACACTCACTAATCACCTCAGGTCATAAGTGAAAAACATGGAATTAGTGAGTGAGTAGAGCAGGAGTTAGAGAAGTTGGCAGCTTTTCAAGTCCTAGGGTTGAAGCTTCACAGAATAACTAATTTTGAAGGCTGTGAGTTTCCCATTCCAGTCATACCCACACTCAAACACAGACATGATTTATGCTATAGCTAGACATCATTCTGGGGATTATCTTTGCCTTTCCTCTCTACTATTTCTGATTATCCTTTAGTTGCTGCATAAGAACTGACACATGAGTCAGATTTTTCCTCTGCTAGTAGCCCATGAGATCAGTGCTGCAAACCTGTCCCAGCTCCACCCAAACCCCTGGTCATACTCTCACCTCTGCCTTCCCACACGTGCCTGGAGCACTCCTGTCTTGCTTGAGCAGCTCTCCTCCCCCACAGCCTAGTTCAAATGTTAGCTTTTCTCCAACTTTCCCTGACTCTTTCCAGCAGTGTCCACTCCCTCGGTGCAATGTGGCTCTATACGTACCCTCTGTTGGGGCTTCTTACACGTCCCTTTAACCATCCCTTTGGGGGTCTGGTTCCCTCTTGAGGTCAATCTCCATGTTCATTTTTGTGTCATGCTTTTCCATTTCTATCTCACCTTCCCCTTAGGTAGGATATAAAACATGTTACATGCTAATGTAAATATCTGTTGACTGATTGAATAAACTTTCCTTTAACCCTGTAATTCTGAAAGGAAGTGGAAGTTACGAATTTTCCCCACTCTGACCAGGAGCAAGTTCTTAACATTGTTTCTAGAGGAAGTTTAGGGAGACTTTGCAGAATTCACCAAGCGTGAAGTAGATATGCTGACTCTGAAGGCATCAGATAGGCCTGATGTTACGAGATACATGCCTGACCATGGAGCTCACACCCCTTCTCCATCCTCTGCCTGGTTACGGTTTCTTACCTGGTGTTTGGAGCAGCATCTTCTAAATTGAGTTGGTCTTTTCTGGGTCTACAGGGTAGGACCTCCCTTCACTTCATACAAGTTGGAGAAGTCCAGAGGACCAACAGCAGGGAAGACTTTTACCCTGGCTCTGCTAGAAGATTGTTGACTGGTTGTTGAGATTGAAGGGCAGTCAGTGATCAAGTACTCAAAGTCCCTTGGACAAAGATGGTACTAGACACTGCTCCCTGATCCCGTCCAGTGTCTTGCTAAGGATGTTAGTGTTGCCCTGTATTGGGCACTAATTCACCTACTCTGATCTTTGTGTGTTATCACTTTATCTGCTTCTGAGCAGGAGATTGTCAATACCTCTGGCCGCTTCATCATCATCAATAGGGAGAATTACACTGAGCTGAGCATCACAAACCTGCAGATCACAGAAGATCCTGGCGAGTATGAATGTAATGCTACCAACTCCATTGGCTCTGCCTCCGTTGTCACCATCCTCAGGGTACGGAGCCACCTGGCCCCACTCTGGCCCTTCCTGGGAATTCTGGCGGAAATCATCATCCTTGTGGTGATCATTGTTGTGTATGAAAAGAGGAAGAGGCCAGATGAAGTTCCTGACGGTAAGAACATCCCTACAAAATAGCTGTGCTGTTGGGGCTGGTTTCCAAGCCGTGGGGTGGTTTCCAAGCACCCAAAGAGGACTATAAGAATGTTGGGATTCAGTCCCAAAAGGAGAGAAGGAAAAAGTCTTATACTGGTTCCTCACCCCCTACCCCTAAGATTAGCCACCTTGAGCTATAATTATTAGCTCTGTTCTCCATGTGGGTGTTCTCCAACCCCAGTCCCATCTGCCCTTCAGGCCCCTTGTGGGGAATGGGCAGTTGTCAGTCTCTTTGTTCAGCTCTGTCCTCCTTCAATACAGATCATCAGGCAGATTGAGCTTGAGGAGAATCCAAGTCAAGCCTAGAAGCCACCCCAAGATCGCAGGCCACCTGGCCTTTCAGGCAGATTTAAGGTATCTAATTGGTTGTCACATGGTTGCCTGGTATAGCCCCTGTAGGTAACTGCCCTAGTCCAGTCAGACTGTTATTGGGAAAAGCCATTGGAACAAGCCACTTTTTGGTTCCCTTGGTTGGTCCCTTCAGAAGGTTTTCAAGGTTTGTGGTGAAGCAGGCCCCTGCCATTTGGCTTTTTTGTCTGTCTCACAGACAAGAATGGTGGAGAGCATCTGATGCATTACCATCCCCAGTTTAAGACAGATAGCTAAGTAGTAACACCTGGAGTCCCTGCCTGACGTGGCACCCTCAAGCTGGCCCAGCGTCCCAGAAGGGAGTGGATAATAGCAGCAGAACCAAAGCCAATTGTTAGGCATTGGAAAGAATAAGAATCTTAGATGGTTAGACATGCTTAGAGTCAGAAAAGGTCCTGGAAGTTATGTTTTTTGTTATGGATGTTCTATTTCTAACCCTGTGATTATAATGTGGGGGGGACTACTGATGGAGACTTGCACCAGTAGTACTTCAGATTCCTCACTAGCTCCTCAGCCCCATCCTCTTACCCTATAATAGCATCAGCGAAAACAAATTAATTGGCCAGCCAACTATCACCACCACTTGCCTGTCACTGATTGGACTGGAAGGGTATGCACGTAAACTCAGTGCCTTGGGTGATGGGGAGGATGCCAACTCTAGTCTGACTGTTCTGGGCCTGTGCTTGTGCACTGTGGTGCTGTACCCTGCCCCAGAGAGCTGTCTGTGTCCCTGTGGCTGGCCAGGACCCAGTGCCAGCCATGTGTGTCAGCAGAGAATGCTAAGGGAGGTCTGGTGCTCCCTCAGGAAGAGCGCAGCCCTGAAGGCATGCCAGTGGCTCCAGAGTCTCTGGAAGGACATGTTTGAGAGCAGCAGCCACCTCCCCTTCTTTTCCTTTCTTCTCAGCAGCTCCTAAGTCTCTCTGCCTGCACTAGGTAGAGCGAGTATTGTAGTGAGGCTGGTGAAAAGGTTATTTGGTGACACTAGCGATGTATGTGGGGAGACTTGGTGGACTTCCATCCAAATGTACATTCACCAGTGAACTAGATGGAGGAATGGGATGGACGTCAGCTGGAAGCAGATGGGCCTTTGTAAATACGTGGGCTTGTGCCCTGCAACATAAGAGTGTCCTGGGATTTTTACTTTCTTTCTCCTGGGTCCACAGAACTGCTATTCTATGAATCAAAAGTGCTTTCTTAGGATTTTCATATATGCATAATGCTTTTCTCTCTAAATTTCTCTTTCTTGTTGCAAATTAGGACTTCCAAGGCTGAGTACCTATGTCTAGATCTGAGAGTAGAGGGGGAGAGTTGCCTGTCAGTGTGTTTTCAGCATTGGCTTATTAGGAGCAGTCATGCCTCACTCCTGAAAAGGGCTGAATGCTTTTGCTTTGCTAAATATCGCCTTTCTCAGCTTTCCCTTTGGAAAAATTGAGATGCAAAAAGTCAATAGGAAAAGGTAAAAATGGGCTTCAAAACCTGACTCTTTACTTTAAGACAAGGCTGGCTGCCCCTCTCTTGGCAGAGTGACACATTGGCTTAGACTGTCCCTGTTGGAGGTTCCTGTTGTCTTTGCAGGAAGCCGTTTCACTTACCAGGTTGCTATCCCAGCATATGTGGAAGAGACCGTCAGGTTAGATTTGAGGAATGGTTAGTATTGGTTCTATCTGACAAGTGCAGGCACCTGCCCAGGGAAAGCAGCTTTTTTTTTTTTTAAGAGCTCCATGGCTGTTGAACACAAATGGGGACGAGTTATACAAGACACCTGTGGCCAGCAAATCTGAACAGCTTCCTGGAGGGAAAATACTCTTTTAAGATAAATTATTATAGGCAGTGAATGAATCCTATGTAAAAGAGATGACTGCAGGGTAAGTGCAAAGTAAAACCTTCTTGCTCTAGTGTCTTAGAAGAATACTGTAATGCAAGCAGCTTTTACTTTGTTGTTATTATTGAATTGGGGCAAAAAATCTGGGATGCTGGAATTATTGCAATGTTTGCCTTCTCTCTGTTCCCCTCCTGACAGCCAGCACTGTCCAGGCTCCATTCTCTATCACATGCCCTTGCTTGAGCATTTCCATCCCATAGTTTCCTTCTTTGTCTTTCTGCCTCTTTTTCTCAGACTCCTCCCTAGTCCTGCCCTCCCCTTTTTTCTTCTCTCCTGGAAGTAATTTTTTTGAAAATTTGATTGTTCCTCCGTGAGTTTTCCTTATGCCGTATCTTTTTCTTCTTTAGCCAGTTTCCCCTCAACTCCTGTGCAATTCACAAGAGCAAACTCACTTCATATGCTTTCCTCCCATATGCCCTTCTTCAAATTTACATATAGATATATGCATACGCTCCTTTTTGGAATGAATGAGCAGGTACCTTATACAGATTTGGGGTTTTAGGGGTGATGAATTTTTACCTGTCAGACAACCGTTCGTAATTCTGTGTTGACTTATTTATACCATTGTGAAAATTGATTTTTTAAAAAAATAAGCCTGACATGCTTCTTCTCTGCCAAATGAATACACTATTATCAAGATACAGCAGTGATTTATTTCTGACTCACTGGACCTTTTTTTATATGAAAAAAGTTCATATAAAACTCATAGTATTCATATTTGGGCAGTCTGTGAGTTTTTGGTAACTCGGTGCTGTACTAGAAAAGCACTAAGGGAACAATACAAAAGTATAAAAACACAAATTTAAACTTATATAGTTTAGCCTGAGTATGTTTCACTAGAAGAGCAAATATTGCTTTAGATTTCTCACATAGAAAATACTTAGGGTTAAGGTTTTAGCTGCTTCCAGGGGGTAAAAAAGGCCCATGACTTTTTGTCTACTGGAGTATACTCAGGACATTTTGTAAGTGAAACTTACATCTAAATCCCTTTCAGTCACTGTTACAGTGTCTTTGAGGACTGGTGCCCCAGTGGGTTGTCTTGTAGGTAGATTATCTGCATATCACCTTTAACCTTCAATGTTTTTAGTAACAGGTGAATTGTGGAGCCAAGTAAGGGCTTTGTTTTTTCAGTTTACTCACCTTCTGACTACATTCTCTGGAAATGTTAAATGATAATTCTCTAAAAAGACGAGATACAACTAGCATCCCTCTAGCCTTCCATCTACCTTACAGCTGGACGTATGTTTGGAGCTCACCTTGTGTGTTGGTTCCCTGCTGACTGAACCCAGAGAGTGATTAGTGTGCCTCTCGGGAGTGAACCTGCTTAGTTGCTGGGGCCTTCAGTTCTGCTGCACATTTTACTGACCTCGATTGAAAACAGTAGGAGCTGATTTAAGAGAAGTGCTGGCATCAAAAAGAGTTTTCCATTATCACGTTAGGGAGATAATTTTATAAGCAAGTATAGGCACTCTTCCTTTAAGTTACTGGTATAAAAGATACTTGAGGTTTTGTGGGAACCATTTTTAGTGGCTGTGATGTATCCAAACTCTTTTTAACACTTTAGAATTAAGAGCTAGTCTAATGTTCCAAAATCAGTTAAATGGTCAAAACATTGGTAGCATATGAAGCTTTACAAGAGGACAGGAATGTTGGAAAAGGAATGTGACTTTTAAAAATGATATGTGAAACACATGTGTTGTCTCTTAACCAGGGGTCATCTGGGTCAGTAACAAGCTACCTTAGGAAGAAAATACAATAGGACTGAATAAGGAAGGAAATTGAAAATAATTGTTACTCTCTTTTGGGTTTAATGCTGCTCTGCTGAGATCAGGCAAAATTTAAGTGGGTTTAGAAACCATAAATCCTCATCCTCAGTGAGATGAAGGCAGTGAAAAAGGAGCTTTGACCAGACAGTCAACTTACTTTGACATTAAAGCCATCTTTTTGGAGGTGGTATTGTATCAGGTAATCTGTTATTTACTAGGCATTGCAGAGCACCCTTCCAGATTCTGAGGCGATGTAGGGGAATGAGGGCTCTAAGTGCATTCGGTTGGGAAGACAACATTCAGCTGAATGAATCAGTGTGTGCAACAGGTCCACCAGGAACTTCACTCATAAGATGGATTCCAGAAGCATCTTGTTTCCACTCTCCCCCAGCCCTCTTCCTCTCATCTAGTCAGTGGCTGTGAGTAATACCCAGCTGGAGAGAACAGTCATTGTTTAAGCGGCTGTCTTTTGCCCTGAGGGTTTGGGGGTATGTTGATATTTGTCGGTTACTATGACTTCTTTTTTTTCCCCCCTCAATTGCATCAAACCCTTAAAACATGGTGGTAAGTGAGCGATATGCATGCTTTTGGAGTTTGTTTAATCTCCGCTTCAGTCTATACGATGCACAGTTCATAATGTTAACACTTTTCTTCAAGTTTACTTCATTCACTTTCACAACTAATTTGGATTTCAGTTTGCTGTTTAATCCTCATTTACTTTCATTTTCTTACCTTTTATCTGTAGTTCTGTTCTTTCCCTCTCTCCTGATTTCCTTGTTAGAGGTCCAGTTGTTGTTTTTGTTTGACCTGTAAAGGGAGAGTGGTGCTGCAGATAGTGATTCAGTCCAGGAAAGTGGGAGACTTGAGGCTCTTTTCTTTGTTCCTTATAAATGTGGAAGTGGATTTGGGGAGAGAGATGAAGGGGCTCGTGAGACGTAGGCACAAATGTGAACAGCAACTGCTCCCACTTGCAGGCATGGCAGCTACACCAGAGCCACTGTTGCTAAAACCCCTCATGCAGCCCTTTGCACGTTATCACCTTGTTGGGCTGGAAAATGACGTTATTAGTCAGACACCAGGGCATACATATATCCCAATTACTGAAGAAAGAAAAGCTCATGGTGTGAAGTGCTTGGGTTAGTGCTGAAGTGTCACGCTTTGAAAAGATTAGCTTGGCCATCGCGATTCCCTCTCCCCTTTTTTTCTCTTAAAATTGGGAGTAGATTGGTGATATTCTTGAATCAGCTACCTTGCTTTAGAATTTTGTGTTTTCGGGTGCACAGCCAGAGCACTAAAAATATTTTAAGTTTGCTCCTGTGTCCTTTCCTGTAAGTCCCAGAAGTGCTTAGTTCCTAGCATGTAGCTGAGCTGGTTTGGCCAGGATGCTGAGAGCGTTAGGGTGTTGTGGTGAGGGAGGATCTAGGCTGGGCTCGTGGGTCTCAGTACCTGGTATGTCTTTGTATATCTCCACTGTATACACAGTACACAGATGTCTTGGGTGTCTGAGTCTTAAGTTTGTTCTCTGTACTGTTCGATAGTGTACTATTGTTAGTAGTAGAATCCTGTGGACACTGGTGTGTTGCTAGCCTATTGTTCTGGCTAAGTCACTGGTTTGTGGTTAGTTTTGTTTCTGTTTTGTTTTGTTTTCTTTTTTTTGAAATCTTTTTTTGCTCCAGTCACTGTGTGTGCTGGCGGTGGCTTTGCCTCTCCGTTGCCTCAAAGGAACAGGTGGAGCAATGTCTCCCTCTGACAGACATTACTCCTGACGTGTGCTCCTGCAGATGCCTACACTGAGACTGTAATCTCCATAACTGCTTCATGTGCACCAAGCCCCCTTGTGGAATCCTGCTGAGAGTTTTTCTAGAAGCCTTCAGTTCTAAATCATTTAGTCTACCTGACGTTTGTAAAATAAAAAGAAACTAAGAGCACTTAACTTGCTTTTCCCCACCTTTGTGGGCCTTAAAAAAAAATCTGTGTGTGTGTGTGTGTACACACACACACACACACACACACACACACACATACATATCCCTGGTTAAAGGGGACCAAGTTGCCCTTAGTTGAAACAGGAAGGAAAAACTTACAAATCAGAATCAGAAAATACCAATTTAAGAAGGCACCTAAACTCAGATAATGTAAGCTTTTCGATTAAAAAGAAAAAAGATAACTCATGGCTCATCTGGGTTTGGGTTCTGGTTTTGGCCAGGGCACAAGAGTGAGCCAGTTTTTCTATCTGAAGTCTATTCTAGAGGGATGTCAGCACCATTCAGCTTTCCCTGGTCTGTCACAGAACATCCTCTGGTCTACCTACACTTGTTGCTGGCATAGCCTAGCCTGTCTGACCCAGTATTAGGTTGAACCATTGTGGCTTCCTCTATCTCATTCTCCAGACTAAAGACTCTCCTAAAGATAACAAAACAGCAAGAACAGTGTCCTTTGGGGAAGTGAGGATGTGTGTAAACATATAGATTACACATCCATCTGCATTGCAGGATTGAGCCAAAACTATACATGCATTCACCACAAGAAAACAAACAGCAGGATTTTACAACTGAAATGTTGGTTTGTCTTCTCATCTACTTAAGAGTGAACCACTGGAACTTGGGGACAAGATGAGTATAATGATATTGCAGCCTATCTGTCCGCTACAGTTGCAGTTTTTCATGACAAGCATTCAAAGTGTTAACTAAAATCATTGAAACAACATACCTGCCATTAAAAACCTGAATCTAGAAATAATAACTCCATGAGTGTTTTGCACCTCCAGATGGAATGGCCTTGAATAAATGCTATGAATAGCCATGTTTGCCACTTGCCGTTTGCTGTTCTGTTAATCCCTGTGCAGAGTCTCACAATTTTCTCCCTTCTTCTTCTGTCTCTCAATGGATTATTAAAACCTGAACACCTGTGTAGACGATGAACCAGCTGGGCCAATGTAAGTAGTTTATTCGACATTGATTCAGTAGTTTCTGGTTGGGTTATTATGTATTTGCCGTTTAATCAAAGGGCTAGCTAAGATTGTAGGGGAAGACAGTGAGTGGAAACAGTGTTGCAGTGTAGACTTCTTAGCCAGACATGGAGTCGACTGAGAGTTGACTGATTGCCATTTGATTCCCAGGACAGGCAGTACAGTTTTTTTAGTAGCAATACAAAGTGGAATACCATGCAAAAAAAATGTTTAAAATTTTGCACACCCCATATGTTTAAATTGATAATGTGGGGTAAATCACCAGTATATCTGAGACTTCAGGTTTTGTTAAAGTTAATTTCAAGCTCGACTGTAGCATGGATAAACTGCCTGGCTCCATTAAATTGCGTGTATCCAAGAGACAAAATTGCAAATTTTGAATCAATCCAAGATTAGCAGAATCTCCTAGAGTTGGGGACTAAGTCAGAGGCAGGCAAACAGTGGCCAAATTATTAAGTGCCAGAGGGCACAGCACTGCCTGTATATAATTGAGTATCTTTTATCATTTGAGAAGAGACAGTGGTGTTGAGTAGAGAAAAAACTACTATTTCACCTTTATAGTAATTATAGTTTACAAGTCAAAGGGAAAGTTACCGGTATATTGTCTGCCTTGGGAGTCAAAAGGATCTATTAATTTAAGGTATGTAGGCACTTTACACAGGAATATTAATTGTGTATTAATATTGTGCAATAAAACTTACTATACCAGGGATGGCAGTAAGTGGAAGACTCCCTGTATTTCCGTGTGTTATACTTTCAAAAGTTGCTACTGACCTTGAGTTTAAACTCTTGTAAATGCAATTTTTCCTCCAAAGGAAAACCAACTCTACCAACAATCACAAAGATAAAAACTTGCGCCAGAGAAACACAAATTAAGTACTACTTGTAACGTAAGTATGGCCTTCTTTAGAAATTTTAAAAAATTATATTCAAATGAATGTGCCTCTGTTGACCTTATTAAAAATTCTTCAGTAGTTGGTGTTATGTTGCAAGATCCTTTAGTTGATTTCAAGAGCAGCCAATACTGGTGGAACAAGTTGTCTGTCCAGTGTAGCAGCTGGAAAGGAAGATTTTCAGCTGAGCTCTTTCACTTATTTACATAAATGCTTTTCAGAGTATGTATGATGTTTCAAAACATCACTTTACCACTTTACTTACATCTTTAAAAAGAGGTAAAAGTGAAATTGTCACCTTAGGTGGATTATTCTGAGGCCAGTTGGTCCCACTTTGCTTCTGAGGGCAAGGCAAGAATGGTGGCCAGGGACAGCTGGGCTGGAGTACCTTCTGGTTAGGCACGTGGAGATCTGAATTCCTCACCGCATCCCTGAGCATGCTGTTTGAACCAAAGCTTTGTTTTATAGGCACTTGGTGTAGTCTTAAGTAATAGTGCATATTCTCTTTTAATTTCTAAATACTCTTCCTTCACAGATCCTTAGGTTCCTGAAACTGGTGGCAACATGACCTGCTAAATTTTCTGCTTGTACCTCTTTGGTTCTTTCCCTTTCAAGTGAGCAGCACCATGATGACTGTCTAAAGCATGCCTTATTTAGCCTCTCCTGTAAGGGTGACCTAGCCAGGTACATTTTAAACAATGCTTCAGTGTAGAAGGTGTAAACTATTTTGGGCTTGATGTGCTGTGAATGTTGCTTTTTTTTTTCCCCCTTTGGTAGAATATTTAAATAGAAGTAAAAAGGTCCTCTGAGGATCAGATCATGCATGCACCGTTTTTTACTTAATGCAGCTGTTAAATTGGCAAAGCTCTAAAATGCACTGCTGCCATCTAGTGACACATTTTTGTAAAGTACAGCAAAACCTACAGATATATACAGTATATAAATATATATATATATTTATATTTTTGGGGTGGGAGAAATCCAAAATAAAATAAATGCTTGTTTCATTTTTAAGCTGCTGATACTCATTCCTTACTGTATGTTGTCAGATGAGGAAACTGTTCAGTTCTGGTACATAAAGATGAGTAATATAAACTGAAATCTATAATTTTAAGGGCTTAACCTATGACTTTGATAAGAAGCTGGAACAGTCCACTGAATGGATGTAATGAACTGCAGTATATATGTATGATTGCTTTTTAAGTGATTATTTTTTCTTTTGTTAAATCATGTAAATTCTTAGATCCTTTTGCACTGATGTGTTGAACCTGATTGTACATTCAATTAAGGCAAACTTTTATAATTTACCTTTTGTTTTCAATGACCTTGAAATGTTACAGCATGGTATTCTATGCAACTAGTTATACTTTGAGGTTGACACTGTATTTTTTCATTGATTGAGTGTAGATTTTCACACCCGGCAGGGTTCTCACACGGTGCGTAATGGTAGATGCATGTACTTGTGTTTTGTGTAATTGTTGAAGTGCAATGATGTATAAAAAAGTGGATTCACCTGTTTTTAAAAATAAAACTGATAAAAGGTGTTGGAATAATACTCTTTATTCTAGTATCTTCTCTAGTCTTAGGAGGAAGCATTTTTTCCATTGCACTGAAGTTCCTCAGTTCTGTATGTATATAGAATGTTAGTTGCTCAGCTCTGTCAGCTTTTTTAGTTCCTTTTCCACCTCTTCCACAAATGCTGGGAAATTCTGATCCATGAGGCACAAGCGTAGAAAGGGGCCTAACTCTTCCGTGTTCCATGCAGATTGTTCATAGACCACGGGCAGCTCCTCTGATGCCAGGAGAGACTGTGGGGATTCCAGAAGAGTAGTTTATTAGAGATTACAGGAGAAAGCAACAGCCTGAATAATAGAACACAAACTTTGCCTTAAGGAAAGATTTGGGAAATAGACACCAAAAATTAGTGTTAATTAGCTTTGCAGAGTTCCTTTACATAATGTTTCTAAATATACAAAGTGAGATAAACTTGTATCCTTAGGTATTTCAAGTATATTAATGAAACGATTTGCAAAGTTAAGATTCTGCTTCAGTGAAGAGTATGGTGCTAATAAGTTTGTGGACTGATAAAGCCTGTTGATGAATGGACGCCACTAACTTAGTTCATCCTTCCCACCTTATAGGTGGAAAAATGGGTGTGAGCAGTTCATCATATGGAAACTGGGTTCTGAATGTAATACAGAGAGGTCACAAACTGACCATCCCAAGGACACAATTATCTCGCTTTTTCTGGTCCTATCCATGAAGCTTGACAAGTAGAGGCATGTATCCATCACCACAATCAAGACAGAACATTTCCACCACCCCCAGGAAGTCCCTCATGCTACCTGCTCTTGTCAGACCCTCAACCCTTGGCAACCATGATCTGTTTTCCATACCTTATAGTTTTGCCTTTTCCAGAACGTCATATATGTGTGTTTTTCACATGCTATTTGACATTTGTATGCCTTCTTTGGTAACTTGTATTTTAACACCATTTGACTAAGCTGCCAATATTTAAATATTAGGAGAGTTCAAATAAAAGTCTGACTGAGCTTGGCTATTTGGAAGATAAGGTGACATTGGATCCACAGTCCCACGTGACGAAGATGGCTCCAGCTCTGCACGTGGTTCAATTACGTCTGGGCCTTTGACTCAGCCTTCTTATTCTCTCCTCATGTTAATTCTACTTAGGTAGGTGGTTTTCTACCCTTTCCATGGCATGGTTTGGTATATATGTATACAACTGACATTTCTCTAAGAACTATCTATAATAGAAATTGATTTTTCTAAATTAAAACCAGACTGTATCTAAAAGGTAGAAAGAAGAAAATGAAAGTAAAATGGAGCCCTGTTCTCCAGTGAGAGCCACTGTTAACATGTTAGTGTATCTCCTTCCAAACTTACGTTGTGCTTTTACTACAAAAATCATGCATGCTATTTTGTAGCCTTTAAAAAACAATGTTCTATGAATATCTTTCCTTGTCAACAGATATAGACATCACTTTTAATGACTACATTTTTATCCTGCCTATGGTTATAGCACTCTTTAACCACTCAGTATCCTATTAGTGAATAATTACGTTTCCAGTTTTACTATAAAAAAACACTGAAAAACATCCTTGTATGTATATTTGTGTAGATGAAATCGTATTATAGGTAATAAGATATAAAGTTAAATTTTATCTATATTGCTGAGTTGCTTTCAAAGAGTTTTACCAAACTTAAAGAACAACTTGTCTAGAAGGTTAGAGCAAACAAGTAACATATTTGAGCTCCCAGCCTGGTGCTTTTTCTTCTTTATACATGGTTCTTCTATATGATGTAAATAAACTGGGCTGAGGTACACCTTTTATAGCAACTGATACTTCCTGAATAAGGACATCACACACTGCCTTGCTCATGAATTTTTTTCTGTGGCTCAGCCACTGTAACCCCAGTGCAGATATGAGGCTACAAACTGGGCACTATAACGTCTGCCCTGTGATTGTCCATTTATTTTGAGTGAGTGGTGAGCCAGATGGAGAAAACACCTGTTTCTTATACCACTGTTAGCACAGTTTAATAGATAAAGAGGAAATTCATCCTTGAATATTGAATTCCATGCAGAACTCTGTGGAAAGCATAGGCTGAGAGCCTGTGCTGTCAAGCACAGCAGGGAATGCAGTGAGGAGGAGACCACCTTCAGGAGCTCCAGCAGACCAGGCCTCAGGAACCCTGAGCCTGAATGAATAGTTCTGCAGGAGTCTGTGGTAACAGCAGACTGCAAGGGGAGAGGGCATGTCTGAAAGCAGTTCTGTGGTAACAGAGTTGAATCCTCCCGGGTCTCCACACATCCTTAGCTGAGATCCTCACACTGAGTATCTGCCCCTACAGAAACTATCTTGATATGACTCCGAATTCATATTGATATCTATCTTAGAAGAGTTTCCAAATTTCGTTTCCAAAATTAAATTGGAATTCTTACCTGTATTCCTCTTTCTGGGATAGGTGGTGAATAAATTCTTTATCTCACACATTTAAAGGCTAACACTATAGGCCACTCTTCATCTTTTATTTCCTCAGGAGAATAGTTCTTCAGTATGTGTCATCGTGTTTAATCTTACAACAAGGGTAGGTGGAGATGGCCTGTCTCTGTCTTTACCATCTTCTATAGCAACACTTTAAGTTACTGTTCTAGAACAATGGATTGAACAGAGGGATACAAATTCTTCAGGATCACTGTTTTTCCTGACATGAAAACTGAACATGGAAATAGGCCCTACCTGAGCTAACCAGGCCACTGAGGTCCTTCCTCTTGGAGTGCCTGTGCCAGCTGGTACCCACCGTTGCTGCTCCAGATTCTGGTGTGACTGCTTTCATGTTCAAAGAAAGAAAACATCAGTAAAAGTGGTAAGATCATTGTTGGTGTAGTCTGTCCTGGTTTAAGCTTGGCTATTACTTGATTTACCACAGTAGAGGTACACACAGAGTTTAAATCTGAGGCGCCTGCCCTTATGTTCCTTATGTCTGTTCCTTATGTCTCATAGGCTGGCAGTGCTTTTTCTTGCCTGACACCGTGGTGTACTTCTGTCTTCAGAGGCCCAGCCCAGGACCATGTGCTGGTACTGGAGGGCAGTGGACATTGCCCAGCTTCTGATAATCATGATTTGTCACCTTCTAAAAATTATTACTCAAGTAATACATGTTCACTGTGAAAAAGGGAAAAAACCCTATAGTTGCAAGATAATCTTACATTTTTAATAAAAGTTAAAAAAAATCTCATTTTAGACATTCTGAGGGAATGAGTTCTTCTGTTAGTAAAATTCCTAGATATCTTCATTCAACAATGTTTTGTGCCTACTGTGTACTAGACACTGGGGTGATAAAGGGAAGGGAGCCACAAAGAACAAGGTAGAGGTCCAGCCCTCAAGAACCTACAGCCCAGTAAGAACTTAGCAAGTCAGGAAGTGCTGGAATGGAGGTAAATATAAGACTTAAGGCTTAGAGTGGAGGGGAGTACAGGAGGGGTGTGTGCGCTAAGCATGAACGGTAGGAATGCTTTAGAGTCCAAGCTGCTTCAAAGGAACCTGCTATAGGAGGGTTTGTTCTCTAGCAGAACACACGGGATGTTTTCTAGGCAAACAGAGTGAATAAGGTATAGAAGGAGGCCTGGAGGCATAAGAGGCTCGGAGGGCTGCTTCTACCTAAAAGCACAAACTTTTCCAAGAGCCCCATCACTCCTCCTTCCTAGCCACATGTCTGCAGGCCTCGTTATGTTTTGGATATATGTGGTGCTTGTAGTGCTAATCTCCAGACAGTTGCGAGCTAGTGGTATCACTCAGGGAGAATCCAAGACCCTCCCTGGAAGGTGTCTCTATCAGCAGCATGTTCTGACTGCCAGAAGTAAATGTTCTACATGGAAGCTGACTGTTGCTAGTTAGTGCGTATTAGCAGAAATGCATATCTGGAAGCATCAAAAATGGGGTGGCAGGACAGAGAGGAAGGAAAGAACAAAGAGAAAAGAAAACTAGTCAAGAATACTAAAATAAAAATGAGCAAAAAGGTAAGGGACTTTAATGAGTCTAGAATCCTTAGGCAAGCCCCATTTCTCTATTTAGTTTCCTTATCTGGAAAAGTCAGACTCTAGTGTTTCTTCCAGCTCTGATATTTGATGTTTTCCTAGGAGACACATCAGTTCAGTTCACACTGTGTTTCAAACAACTGGGAAAGACATCAACCAAAATTCATATGCCATCCACACTGACCTATAGCCAAGTGCGATGGAAGCAGCTGAGGCTACTGGGGTGGCCCTAAGGATTGGACAGTCCTCTGCCCAAGTGCAGAGAGATGGAAGGTTCTGTCCACACAGGAATGAGCCCCTGGCTGCTTTCTGCTGGACTTCCTGTGCTAACAGAGGAAAGCGTTCACCTAGGAACTGCCCCCCTCTCTGAGTACACTGGGTTGCCTTAGAAGCCCTCAGGTTGAGAAATACCTGGTTAGGCCACAATTAGTAAAATTACAAGGCTGAGGAAAAGTAAAAAAATAAGAGCCAGGAAGTGACTCAAGAACTTGAAATAGAAAGACATGGAATTATCTCTATTTGCAAAGAAGAGAATAACTGTTTTAGACAAAAGAAAATATATAGGCCAGAGCTTGCACCTCTTGAATTGGATTCTGAAAAAGGGAGCATGATAGCAAATTTGCACAGCAGCAGCTAAGGGCACGCCTTAGGAGTTTTTGGCATTAGGAAGACTAGAATATTCTAGGTAGTGCTTCACAATGCCTGCATGCTGGTGAATTAACCCAGTAGCTTTATCTTGTCTCCTGCTCTGCAGCATCAGACACTCTGTCTTATCATGGCCCTATTGACTCATGAGTTCTTACCCTCAGTAATAACTGACTAGGATGCTCATTTGTTCATTTGCAAGGGAAGGCAGATCTGAAACGGTAACAGCACTGGCAGTAATAGTAATAATGGATCATGTTATTTAGGTATTTGCCAGATGTTGTCCTAGCTGCTTATAGACAATTTCAGTCTCACCATTTTACAGGTGAGTGACTTGCATGAGATCACGTAGCTACT